TGGTGTAAAAAACATGGAATTAAAAAATAAAAACTACGTTTTAAGTGAGAATAGGCTTTGGTCTGAAGCCGAAAAAGAAAGGAAATTCAGATGAGAACCACAATGACTATTCCACCCATGCTCTACCAAGGATTTCCAGCACACAGGTTTGACCTACTACAGTAGCTATGTTGGTATTGTACTTCGAACTATGTGTTGGCAGGTTGCTTAGGATTCAAACCTTCTCAAACAGCCTAATTCATAATTAACCGCATACAGCACAGTAAGATATTATCCCATTATGCTACCTTCTCAAGCTTTGCTTTTATACATACAAGACCATCAGGCTTGATTGAGCTGTTTTGTCTTGTAATAATGTGGTGCATGCATGTATTTCCTTAAACCTTTATTTTGTCAATACATGTCACTGAGGTCAAGATCACTCCAACAGGTCCCCCTCCACCCTCTGAGGATGTATAACGTATTAGTATGTCTCCAGGATTCAAATAAACACTTTCTTTTAAAGAATTGCCCTAGAATAACACATTTGTTTGTGTAGATTCAGGGCGTATCGAAGTACTGTATTGCAGTTCTATCAATTATTTATACCATTGGCAGACTTTGTATACAATTGGCAGATTTTTATGTGCACAAAAATAAGGTAATTTTGGTTTTGTAGGCAGTCATATGATACGTGGTATAGAAAAGTTCAATCTTAGGCTAGTATATGGGGAGCTATAGTGGGGAAAAAAAGTATTTAGTCAGCCACCAATTGTGCAAGTTCTCCCACTTAAAAAGATGAGAGAGGCCTGTAATTTTCATCATAGGTACACGTCAACTATGACAGACAAATTGAGGAAAAAAATTCCAGAAAATCACATTGTAGGATTTTTTATGATTTTATTTGCAAATGATGGTGGAAAATAAGTATTTTGTCACCTACAAACAAGCAAGATTTCTGGCTCTCACAGACCTGTAACTTCTTCTTTAAGAGGCTCCTCTGTCCTCCACTCGTTACCTGTATTAATGGCACCTGATTGAACTTGTTATCAGTATAAAAGACACCTGTCCACAACCTCAAACAGTCACACTCCAAACTCCACTATGGCCAAGACCAAAGAGCTGGCAAAGGACACCAGAAACAAAATTGTAGACCTGCACCAGGCTGGGAAGACTGAATCTGCAATAGGTAAGCAGCTTGGTTTGAAGAAATCAACTGTGGGAGCAATTATTAGGAAATGGAAGACATACAAGACCACTGATAATCTCCCTCGATCTGGGGCAAGATCTCACCCCGTGGAGTCAAAATGATCACAAGCAAAAATCCCAGAACCACACGGGGGGACCTAGTGAATGACCTGCAGAGAGCTGGGACCAAAGTAACAAAGCCTACCATCAGTAACACACTACGCCGCCAGGGACTCAAATCCTGCAGTGCAAGACGTGTCCCCCTGCTTAAGCCAGTACATGTCCAGGCCCGTCTGAAGTTTGCTAGAGTGCATTTGGATGATCCAGAAGAGGATTGGGAGAATGTCATATGGTCAGATGAAACCAAAATAGAACTTTTTGGTAAAAACTCAACTCGTCGTGTTTGGAGGACAAAGAATGCTGAGTTGCATCCAAAGAACACCATACCTACTGTGAAGCATGGGGGTGGAAACATCATGCTTTGGGGCTGTTTTTCTGCAAAGGGACCAGGACGACTGATCCGTGTAAAGGAAATAATGAATGGGGCCATGTATCGTGAGTTTTTGAGTGAAAACCTCCTTCCATCAGCAAGGGCATTGAAGATGAAACGTGGCTGGGTCTTTCAGCATGACAATGATCCCAAACACACCGCCCGGGCAACGAAGGAGTGGCTTCGTAAGAAGCATTTCAAGGTCCTGGAGTGGCCTAGCCAGTCTCCAGATCTCAACCCCATAGAAAATCTTTGGAGGGAGTTGAAAGTCTGTGTTGCCCAGCGACAGCCCCAAAACATCACTGCTCTAGAGGAGATCTGCATGGAGGAATGGGCCAAAATACCAGCAACAGTGTGTGAAAACCTTGTGAAGCCTGGGTGACAGCTTCTAAACTATGTCTTTCTGAATTCCTGTTTGGTTTATGTCCCATCTCTAATAGACCTACACAGATGTGTTATTTATTTATTTAAAGAAAGATTAAGACTATCATTCGGTGATCCATCCATTCCACTTTAACTTCAAATGGTGGTCAGTCTTCTACATTAAAACAATGGAGATACTATAAAATCGACTAATGGTTACTCTTGTCTTTCTGTCCAATACTTAGATCCTCCAGTGTTTTCCTCTACAGATTTTGTGCCCCTCCAGAATAATTAATATAATTGCCAATAGGGGAAATAGAATAACCCTACAGATGTGGGATCTTAATTTGAGTCAGTTTGCTACAGCAGTAACATTTCAAAGTGTAAATTACAAACCTCAAATGCATTGCAGGAAAGTTCTCCTGCAACAGGGTGATCAAATTAAGATCCTACGCCTGTACCTTTCGATGCAGTTTATTCCCGGTGACATCACAAAAAGGAATGTGAGGGTAGGCCTATGTGCTACTGATGATTGTGAGGAGTTTCACCATAAATGGGAATTCAATTCACTGCATTATCTGCAACATTATCTTTAACATAAGACAAGCTCTTTGGGAGCACAGCAGTGAGTGGATTTTTTGGGTTTTCCTTTAGCTATTTTGGCTATTAAAATATACAAAATTATTTCATAAAATGTGCTCATATTATAGAGAAAATAGAAGTTGATGCTGGACAGTGAACAATGCCTAAAAAGCCTTTGTCTAAAAATAACTTCCAGAAGTAATCAAGGCACTCTCAGGTAGTGAAAAATGTATAAAGCATTTATTTTCTACGGCTTATGCATAGCAAGAATTAAAAATAAAATGCACAGATGAGTACAAAGGCCTTCATCAGGGTGACAGAGAATTGGGTTGGACCATAGAGATACACTATATATACAAAAGTATGTGGACACCCCTTCAAATTAGTGGATTCGGCTATTTCAGCCACACCTGTTGCTGACAGGTGTATAAAATAGAGCACACAGTCATGCAATCTCCATAGACAAACATTGGCAGTAGAATGGCCTTACTGAAGAGCTCAGTGACTTTCAACGTGGCACCGTCATAGGATGCCATCTTTCCAACAAGTCAGTTCTTAAAATGTCGGCCCTGCTAGAGCTGCCCCGGTCAACTGTAAGTGCTGTTATTGTGAAGTGGAAATGTCTAGGAGCAACAACGGCTCAGCCACGAAGTGGTAGGCCACACAAGCTCACAGAACTGGAGTACTGAAGTGCGTAAAAATCGTTTGTCCTCAGCTGCAACACTCACTAGAGTTCCAAACTGCCTCTGGAAGCAACATCAGCACAATAACTGTTCGTCGGGAGCTTCATGTAATGGGTTTCCATGGCTGAGCGGCCACACACAAACCTAAGATCCCCATGTGCAATGCCAAGCGTCAGCTGGTGTGGTGTAAAAATTGCCACCATTGGATTCTGGAGCAGTGGAAATGCGTTCTCTGGAGTGATGAATCACGCTTCACCATCTGGCTGTCCGACGGACAAATCTGGGTTTGGCGGATGCCAGGAGAACGCTACCTGCCCGAATGCATTTTGCCAACTAGAAAGTTTGATGGAGGAGAAATAATGGTCTGGGGCTGTTTTTCATGGTTCAGGCTCCTTCGTTCCAGTGAAGGGAAATCTTAACACTACAGCATACAATTTACATTTTAGTCATTTAGCAGACGCTCTTATCCAGAGCGACTTACAGTTAGTGAGTGCATACATTTTCATACTGGCCCCCCTGTGGGAAACGAACCCACAACCCTGGCGTTGCAAGCGCCATGCTCTACCAACTGAGCTACACAATGACATTCTAGATTATTCTGTGCTTCCAACTTTGTGGCAACAGTTTGGGGAAGGCCCTTTCTTCTTTCAGCATGACAATGCAAAAACTGGAAACAATCAAGTGATCGTGTCAGACGAAAATGATATCAAACGTTTTACCATTGCAACATTTCATCGCGATTGGTTATGCCCATCATTTGCAACAACGTCAACGAGCGTCATCACTGTCTTTGCTTTGCCGTACATCAAACTGTCTTTATTACCAGCTGAGAAACTTTTATGAGTTGATTTTACTCCTGGCTCAGACTTTGTCTGGGCAATGTCTTAAAACAGGTATTAACAGGATTTAGGACCTTTTCTGATATGCTTTGTGGATACAGGCCCTGGTGTCACTGGTGTCTTGGGTACAACAGAACAGCTACAACATGATCCAAATGTTCAATGCTTTCCATCGTTGAATCAAAAGAGCTGGAAAATGGCGAGACTTACCCCTGTAGCCATTTGGATATGAAGGTACTGTTGTCATATACCCATCCATTCTGACAGAGGACTGTAACTGGGTCACTGTCATTGGAGTTGGACAGAAGGTTGAACTGGGGCTCTGAGAACATCTTACAGGAACTTGGGAGTCCCATCTTCCTTCACTGGAATACTGACAGTCAGATACTCAAACTATCAACTGCAAGTCTGCAACTCTGTTGATACACAACAGCTTGTTGGAGTTATGGTTATGTTTATAGGGTTAAAGTAAGGGTTAGTGTTAGTGGATAGTTAGTTTAAATGCTGTTGAGAGTTAATTGAACATCTACAAACCAACCATTTATTTAGGATTTTCCAAATAAAGTGTTACCGATTTATCACTTCAGCACCTCTAATGCTATAGTTTATGGTACTTGCCTAAAAAAAACATAAGAATAACATCCCATTTAGAATAACATCCCATTTAGAATAACATCCCATTTATTGGGACCAAGCTTTTGCTTTATCAGCTGGTACTGTATCTTTGCTTAGGATCAATGAATGGTTAACACAATGCTGGTAAATGTGTCCTTATCCTATTTTCCGACTTTTATATAACACACAGAATGAATGACCAACTGTAAGAAGAGCAGAGGAGTAAAGGATTGTCTCTTCAGACAGCATTAGAGGGGGTTGCTGCTACTTTATTGAGAGGAGTTCTGGCTACTCCAAAGGGCTTTTCAAAATGAAATTTGACAATGTCCTCTCAGAAATCAATGGATTTGGGAAATTTCAAATAATGATCGTCCTGATTCAGAGTCTCTCTCGCATGACCCTGCCGTGTCACTTCTTACTGAATAACTTCATAGCTGCTGTACCCTCTCACCATTGTGACCTTAGCGCTCTGGATGATGAGGGTGTCTTTGGGAATCTGACCCAGGAGCAGAGACTGACTGTCAGTATTCCAGTACAGGAAGATGGGACTCCAAGCTCCTGTAAGATGTTCCCAGAGTCCCAGTTCCACCTTCTGTCCAACTCCAATGACAGTGACCTAGCTACAGTCCCCTGCCAGAATGGATGGGTATATGACAACAGCACCTTCAAATCCACTCTTGCTACAGAGGTAAGTCTCTTCCTTTTCTGTCTGTTTTGTTTCAAAGATGGTAAGCATTGAACATGTTGATCACTTTGGTTATTGTTATGATCTCTTTAAAGTGGGACCTTGTATGCGATAGAAAAGGGATGAACAAAGTGACAGCTACCATTTTCTTCATTGGATTAATGTGTGGGGCTCCTTTATTCGGTTTCCTCAGTGACAGGTATGTATGCACTATACAGAAAGAACCCTTACTACTTCACACAAACTCGTGTATACACACCAAGGTTATTATAGTAAACGAAAACCGAAACCTGTTGTAAAGTTTTTAAAAAATGTATAACTGCCTTAATTTTGCTGGACCCGAGGAAGAGTAGCTAATGGGGATCCATAATAAATACAAATACAAATACACCATTCTAGAACTACTGATAAGGCAGCAGCTACTCTTCCTGGGGTCCAGCAACATTAATGCAGTTATATACAATTTAAAATATTACATGACATTACATTTCATAAAATTTTTCACAACACATTAAGTGTGTTTCCTCAGGCCACTACTCTACTATCACATATCTACAATTCAAAATCCATGTGTACCTGTGTTTAGCGTGCGTGTCTTATCATGTGTATGTGTGTCTGTGCCTGTGTGTGTCTCTCTTCAGTCTCCACTGTTCCATAAGGTGTATTTTTAATTATTTTTTTATCTGATTCTACTGCTTGCATCAGTTACCTGATGTGGAATAGAGTTCCATGTAGCCATGGCTCTATGTAGTACTGTGCGCCTCCAGTAGTCTGTTCTTGATTTGGGGACGGTGAAGAGACCTTTGGTGGCATGTCTTGTGGGTTATGCATGGGTGACCGAGCTGTGTGCTAGTAGTTTAAACAGACACCTCGGTGCATTCAGCATGTCAACTGTCACAAGTGTAGAGAGGGGTAGGCAGGAGGCAGTCGCAGGATTTAGAACTACTGAATTTATTAAAGCACCATAGCTTAAAGCGGAATAAAATCCACAGTGCAAAATATAAAGTACTCAGGAAATAGTAGGAGCGATTCCTCTCAGGAAAACAAGCAACATATACAATGACCGACAAAGACAAATGAAAGAGGGAGTATATACAGTGGGGAAAAAAATTATTTAGTCAGCCACCAATTGTGCAAGTTCTCCCACTTAAAAAGATGAGAGGCCTGTAATTTTCATCATAGGTACACGTCAACTATGACAGACAAATTGAGAAAAAAAAATCCAGAAAATCACATTGTAGGATTTTTTATGAATTTATTTGCAAATTATGGTGGAAAATAAGTATTTGGTCACCTACAAACAAGCAAGATTTCTGGCTCTCACAGACCTTTGAATTCTTCTTTAAGAGGCTCCTCTGTCCTCCACTCGTTACCTGTATTAATGGCACCTGTTTGAACTTGTTATCAGTATAAAAGACACCTGTCCACAACCTCAAACAGTCACACTCCAAACTCCACTATGGCCAAGACCAAAGAGCTGTCAAAGGACACCAGAAAAAAAAATTGTAGACCTGCACCAGGCTGGGAAGACTGAATCTGCAATAGGTAAGCAGCTTGGTTTGAAGAAATCAACTGTGGGAACAATTATTAGGAAATGGAAGACATACAAGACCACTGATAATCTCCCTCGATCTGGGGCTCCACGCAAGATCTCACCCTGTGGGGTCAAAATGATCACAAGAACGGTGAGCAAAAATCCCAGAACCACACGGGGGGACCTAGTGAATGACCTGCAGAGAGCTGGGACCAAAGTAACAAAGCCTACCATCAGTAACACACTACGCCGCCAGGGACTCAAATCCCGCAGTGTCAGACGTGTCCCCCTGCTTAAGCCAGTACATGTCCAGGCCCGTCTGAAGTTTGCTAGAGTGCATTTGGATGATCCAGAAGAGGATTGGGAGAATGTCATATGGTCAGATGAAACCAAAATAGAACTTTTTGGTAAAAACTCAACTCGTCGTGTTTGGAGGACAAAGAATGCTGAGTTGCATCCAAAGAACACCATACCTACTGTGAAGCATGGGGGTGGAAACATCATGCTTTGGGGCAGCTTTTCTGCATAGGGACCAGGACGACTGATCCGTGTAAAGGAAAGAATGAATGGGGCCAGGTATTGTGAGATTTTGAGTGAAAACCTCCTTCCATCAGCAAGGGCATTGAAGATGAAACGTGGCTGGGTCTTTCAGCATGACAATGATCCCAAACACACCGTCCGGGCAACGAAGGAGTGGCTTCGTAAGAAGCATTTCAAGGTCCTGGAGTGGCCTAGCCAGTCTCCAGATCTCAACCCCATAGAAAATCTTTGGAGGGAGTTGAAAGTCCGTGTTGCCCAGCGACAGCCCCAAAACATCACTGCTCTAGAGGAGATCTGCATGAAGGAATGGGCCAAAATACCAGCAACAGTGTGTGAAAACCTTGTGAAGACTTACAGAAATGTTTGACCTGTGTCATTGCCAACAAAGGGTATATAACAAAGTATTGAGAAACTTTGGTTATTGACCAAATACTTATTTTCCACCATAATTTGCAAATAAATTCATAAAAAATCCTACAATGTGATTTTCTGGATTTTTTTTCTCATTTTGTCTGTCATAGTTGACGTGTACCTATGATTAAAATTACAGGCCTCTCTCATCTTTTTAAGTGGGAGAACTTGCACAATTGGTGGCTGACTAAATACTTTTTCCCCCCACTGTATACAGTAATAGAGTGGGGATTGGAACCAGGTGTGTGTGTAATGTCTCCCGAGTGGCGCAGTGGTCTAAGGCACTGCATCGCAGTGCTAGCTGTGCCACCAGAGATCCTGGTTCGAATCCAGGCTCTGTCGTAGCTGGCTGCGACCGGGAGACCCATGGGGCGACGCACAATTGGCCCAGCGTCGTCCAGGGTAGGGGAGGGAATGGCCGGCAGGGGATGTAGCTCAGTTGGTAGAGCATGGCGTTTGCAACGCCAGGGTTGTGGGTTCGATAAAATAATGTATGTGCTAACTGTAAGTCGCTCTGGATAAGAGCGTCTGCTAAATGACTAAAATGTAAAATGTAAAATGTAATGATGATGAGACAAGTCCGGGGTTGATGAGTAAAGGGCGTTTGCCAGCAGCAGGTTCGGCAGCAGCTAGATGTCAGTAATGCTGATGTGGATGCAGTGGTGAAGTCAAGGGCAGGACACAGAGGATAAGCCAAGACGACTTTACTCATAAACTCTATACGCACAAAAACAAACGGCCTCAAAACACGAGGCGAAACAAATACGCGGAGTGCGTAATGAACACGAATAGCCAAGGTACCGACCCAATACATTAAGGACAAGCGGACAATAACATACAAAGGCAAACATAAAACAGGGGAACTTATACAGTGGGGAGAACAAGTATTTGATACACTGCCGATTTTGCAGGTTTTCCTACTTACAAAGCATGTAGAGGTCTGTCTTTTTTATCATAGGTACACTTCAACTGTGAGAGACGGAATCTAAAACAAAAATCCAGAAAATCACATTGTATGATTTTTAAGTAATTAATTTGCATTTTATTGCATGACATAAGTATTTGATCACCTACCAACCATTAAGAATTCCGGCTCTCACAGACCTGTTAGTTTTTCTTTAAGAAGCCCTCCTGTTCTCCACTCATTACCTGTATTAACTGCACCTGTTTGAACTCGTTACCTGTATAAAAGACACCTGTCCACACACTCAATCAAACAGACTCCAACCTCTCCACAATGGCCAAGACCAGAGAGCTGTGTAAGGACATCAGGGATACAATTGTAGACCTGCACAAGGCTGGGATGGGCTACAGGACAATAGGCAAGCAGCTTGGTGAGAAGGCAACAACTGTTTTGCGCAATTATTAGAAAATGGAAGAAGTTCAAGATGACGGTCAATCACCCTCGGTCTGGGTCTCCATGCAAGATCTCACCTCGTGGGGAATCAATGATCATGAGGAAGGTGAGGGATCAGCCCAGAACTACACGGCAGGACCTGGTCAAGACCTGAAGAGAGCTGGGACCACAGTCTCAAAGACAACCATTAGTAACACACTACGCCGTCATGGATTAAAATCCTGCAGCGCACGCAAGGTCCCCCTGCTCAAGCCAGCGCATGTCCAGGCCCGTCTGAAGTTTGCCAATGACCATCTGGATGATCCAGAGGAGGAATGGGAGAAGGTCATGTGGTCTGATGAGACAAAAATAGAGCTTTTTGGTCTAAACTCCACTCACTGTGTTTGGAGGAAAAAGAAGGATGAGTACAACCCCAAGAACACCATCCCAACCGTGAAGCATGGAGGTGGAAACATCATTCTTTGGGGATGCTTTTCTGCAAAGGGGACAGGACGACTGCACCGTATTGAGGGGAGGATGTATCGCGAGATCTTGGCCAACAACCTCCTTCCCTCAGTAAGAGCATTGAAGATGGGTCGTGGCTGGGTCTTCCAGCATGACAACGACCCAAAACACACAGCCAGGGCAACTAAGGAGTGGCTCCGTAAGAAGCATCTCAAGGTCCTGGAGTGGACTAGCCAGTCTCCAGACCTGAACCCAATAGAAAATCTTTGGAGGGAGCTGAAAGTCTGTATTGCCCAGCGACAGCCCCGAAACCTGAAGGATCTGGAGAAGGTCTGTATGGAGGAGTGGGCCAAAATCCCTGCTGCAGTGTGTGCAAACCTGGTCAAGACCTACAGGAAACGTATGATCTCTGTAATTGCAAACAAAGGTTTCTGTACCAAATATTAAGTTCTGCTTTTCTGATGTATCAAATACTTACGTCATGCAATAAAATGCTAATTAATTACTTAAAAATCATACAATGTGATTTTCTGGATTTTTGTTTTAGATTCCGTCTCTCACAGTTGAAGTGTACCTATGATAAAAATTACAGACCTCTACATGCTTTGTAAGTAGGAAAACCTGCAAAATCGGCAGTGTATCAAATACTTGTTCTCCCCACTGTAGGTGACATAGTCAATACAGAATACGACACAGGTGTACCAACTAGACATGACAAAACAAACATTGAAAACATCAAGCGGTAGTAGCTAGTACTCCGGGGACGACGAACGCCGAAGCCTGCCCGAGCAAGGAGGAGGAGCAGCCTCGGCGACATCCGGGGGAGCCAAAGTGAAGGCTGGTGTGACATCAACACTTCTTACAAAATCTTTGAGCCATGAGAGATTTACATACATATTATTAATGTTAGCTCTCCGTGTACATTTCAAGGGCTAGCCGTGCTGCCCTGTTCTAAGCCAATTGTAATTTTCCGAGGTCCCTCTTTGTGGCACCTGACCACACGACTGAACAGTAGTCCAGGTGCGACAAAACTAGAGCCTGTAGGACCTGCCTTGTTGATAGTGTTGTTAAAACAGCGCTTTATTATGTACAGACTTCTCCCCATCTTAGCTACTGTTGTATCAACATGTTTTGACCATGACAGTTTACAATCCAGGGTTACTCCAAGCAGTTTAGTCACCTCAACTTGCTCAATTTCCACGTTATTTAATTACAAGATTTAGTTGAGTTTTAGGGTTTAGTGAATGATTTGTCCCAAATACAATGCTTTTAGTTTTTGTAATATTTAGGACTAACTTATTCCTTGCCACCCATTCTGAAACTAACTGCGGCTCTTTGTTAAGTTTTGCAGTGATTTCACTCGCTGTAGTGTATAGTGTTGAGTCATCCGTATACATAGACACATTGGCTTTACTCAAGGCCAGTGGCATGTCATTAGTAAAGATTGAAAAAAGGGGCCTAGACAGCTTCCCTGGGAAATTCCTGATTCTACCTGGATTATGTTGGAGAGGCTTCCATTAAAGAACACTGTTAGACAGGTAACTCTTTATCAACAATATAGCAGGGGGTGTAAAGTCATAACACATACGTTTTTCCAGCAGCAGACTATGATCGGTAATATCAAAAGCCGCGCTGAAGTCTAACAAAACAGCTCCCACAATATTTTTATCAGAAATGTCTCTCAGCCAATCATCAGTCATTTGTGTAAGTGCCATGCTTGTTGAATGTCCTTCCCTATAAGCGTGCTGAAAGTCTGTTGTCAATTTGTTTAAAATAGCATTGTATCTGGTCAAACACCATTTTTTTGAGAATTTTTTTTTTTACCAGCCCTTAGTAAATGTTTACTAAGGGCTGGTAACAGGCTGATTGGTCGGCTATTTGAGCCAGTAAAGGGGGCTTTACTATTCTTGGGTAGCATAATTACTTTTGTTTCCCTCCAGGCCAGAGGGCACACACTTTCTAGTTTGCTTAGATTGAAGATATGGCAAATAGGAATGGCAATATCGTCCGCTATTATCCTCAGTAATTTTCCATCCGAGTTGTCAGACCCTGGTGGCTTGTCATTGTTGATAGACAACAATAATTTGTTTACCTCTTCCACACTCACTTTACGGAATTCAAAATTACAATGCTTGTCTTTCATAATTTGATCAGTTATACTTGTATGTGTAGTGTCAGCGTTTGTTGCTGGCATGTCATTCCTAAGTTTGCCAATCTTGCCAATGAAAAAACTTTGGCAATATCAGTGGATTTTGTGATGAATGAGCCATCTGATTCAATGAATGATGGAGCTGAGTTTGCATGTTTGCCCAAAATGTCATTTAAGGTGCTCCAAAGCTTTTTACTATCATTCTTTATATCATTTATCTTTGTTTCATAGTATAGTTTCTTCTTATTTTTATTCAGTTTATTCACATGATTTCTCAATTTGCAGTACGTTTGCCAATCGGTTGTGCAGCCAGACTTATTTGCCATTCCTTTTGCCTCATCCCTCTCAACCATACAATTTTTCAATTCCTCATCAATCCACAGGGATTTAGCAGTTTTTACAGTCATTTTTTTAAAAGGGGCCATGCTTATTAGTAACTGGAATAAGCAATTTCATAAATGTGTCAAGTGCAATGTCTGGTTCCTCCTCATTACACACCACAGCCCAACAAATATTCTTTATATCAACAACATAGGAATCACTACAAAACATCTTGTATGCACTCTTATACACTATATTAGGCTCAGCCTTTGGTGTTCAATTGAATCCTTTACAGAAATGAAATACTCTGATAGTGTCTAGTGTTTAATAGCATGTTGTTGTCTTTTACTTAGCTGCATTGTGTATAGAAATATGGGAACACTTTACATTATGTCACGCTCGTCGAAATGAGTGGACCAAGGCGCAGCGTGATATGCGTACATCTTCTTTAATAGTGTACTTAGCAACACAATAACACAACAAACGATATGTGAAGTCCTCTTGTTAACAACACAAACCTACACGGAACAAGATCCCACAAAACACAAGTGCACAACAGGCTGCCTAAGTATGGGTCCCAATCAGAGACAACAAGCAACAGCTGATTCTCGTTGCCTCTGAGAACCACCCCGGCCAACATAGAAACACATAACCTAGAACAGAACATAGGAAACGAAACATAGACACTACACAAAGAAACTAACACCCTGGCTCAACATACAAGAGTCCCCAGAGCCAGGGCGTGACACATTATGATATACTGATAATTTGCCTTTATAATGTTTTATTTTTCTTTGAACAGATTCGGCCGGAGGGCAATGCTGATGGTGGCTTACCTGTCAACTATGGTGTTTGCTTTTACCAGTGCCTTCTCCACCTCCTATGTCATGTTTTGTATCATGAGATTTTTCACCGGAGTGACACTATCTGGAATAAGCATAATCTCCATTGTACTCAGTGAGTTAGTCCCTGATTGTGCTTTGTATTGTAACGTGTTATACATATTAAAGTGTTAAACAGGTAGCCTAGCAGTTAAGAGCGTTGGGCCAGTAACTGAAAGGTCACTGGTTCAAATCCCCGAGCCGACTAGGTGAAACATCTGTCGATGTCCCCTTGAGCAAGGCACTTAACCATAATAGCGCCTGTAAGTTGCTCTTGATAAGAGCGTCTGCTAAAATGTAAAATGTATAATATTATTATAGTCTCCCTCTACAAGAGATTTTAAACCTCAAGGGAATTGATCTTGGTTAAATTTGGGGTTAAATTAAATACACTGGGTTTTCATAAATTATACATATAAAAAGGTTGATGATTGATTTAGTGATATATTGCATGACTGAGTGATCTTTTATGTTCCTGCTGTAGCTTCTAGGAATATTCAGTTTGTTCAATATGAACTTTGACTGTAGAGGCACTCTGCAAATTATGTAGAGACAAATCTGAAAAGTAAATGAAAAAAAAACTGAGTTGCGTGACATTAGATGTAAGTGTTAGCATGGAAATCTGTATTTACTTTAACATTCAAATATAATTCATTACAAACTCTCTTTCCTGGACATTTCAACAGGTGTGGAATGGTTTGACATTCAACACAGGACCTTTGCTGGAGTGATAGTAAGCCTGGATTGGACAGGTGGAAACATGCTGCTAGCTAGTATTGCATACTTTGTGAACGACTGGAGGTGGCTGACCATAGCAGTTACCTCGCCTCTTGTCTTGGCTGTCATTACCTGGTGGTACACAACCCATTTTACTTTGATATTATGTGTTATATTTGGTTTGATGAGTTCAAAGTTAAAACTTGTCCCGTGGTAAAACATGTATAGGTAAAACTGTTTTAAATGTTTGTGGATGTACGGGTGAAGTCAGACCTTACTATTTGTGCAATACAAATTCCCTCTCCTGGGCAAATAACGGTATATATATCTACTAAAAGGAAAGGTTTCTAACATGTTATTTCTAACATTATTATTAGAGACCATGTGGTGGTCTTGCCTGGTGTCAACAGGGATCTGTGCCATTGCAGGTGGCTTCCAGAGTCTGCTAGGTGGCTCTTAGCGAATGGAGAAAAAGAAAAAGCCCTTTTCTACCTGGAGAAATGTGCCAAGATGAACAACAGATCCAAGTGTATGGCTGAGATCACACCACAGGTACATTTAATGCTCACATATGTGGTATCATATTAGGAGAGCCATAGTCTCAACAGGGCTTCTTTCAATCTCAAGTCCTGCTGAGACTGAGGCTGTCCTAATATCAACACCGTACTCAGAAAATGCTGCTCATTTTAGCATGCGTGGCTTCATGACAATGGTGAAACTAATGACTAATAGCCGCAGGTTAAATACAATTCTGAGCTATCTAGGTAAGCAAATAAGATACACCTAGACATGAGTTGTTGGATCAAAAGTTTAACATAAAAACATGCCTTTTTGGATGCCCACAGACCCTTACGAATGCAGTAACAGTTGAAAATGAGGACAAGAAGTACGGTTTTGTGGACCTTGTGAGAACTCCAAATATAAGGAAACTTGCCATTTGCACAGGGATACTATGGTAAGTAGGTGAAAACACTTTTGGATCTCACCAAGGTCTGATGCCATATAATTAATCTTACAGTAAATGCCCTTAAAGGGAAACTCCACTTAAAAACTATATTTTAGTATTTTTTCATTGGTCCACTGTTGATATAGTCCACATCATCGGCCACATGCAAAACGGATCATCATGATAATGTGGCCAGTGACACTTTGCTTCTTGAAAGTCCAATATCTTGAAAACTGCTGACATGAAAAAAATGTTGGGACTGTATCAACAGTGGATTAATGAAAAAAGCACTTTTTTTTTTCTTTTTTTTTTTTTGAGTTTCCCTTCAATGTTTTCTCTCCAACTTGTCTGGCTATCAAATTTAAAGGAGCAAGATGTACTATTTTAGCCATAATTTCAATTTCTTCAAGGTTCTTAAAGGACACTGCTTAGAAACGCCTAAAATAGCTTAGTACTGCTTCTTACCTTATCATATTCAATTTGCCATCCATTGGGCCATCCATTGACATTTGGCGCACAGGAGGTTGGTGGCACCTTAATTGGGGAGAACGGGCTCGTGGTAGTGACTGGAGCGGAATAGGTGGAATGGTATCATATACATCAAACACATGGTTTCCAGGTGTTTGAGGCCATTCCATTTGCTCCGTTCTGGCCATTATTATGAGCCGTTCTCCTCTCATCAGCCTCCACTGATTTGGCGCTAGTTGCAGGTGGAAATGTATAACCTTTAAAAGTATTTTTGATCATAAGTTCCTTATTTTCTTCAACCTGTAGGTATGGAGTTGCGTTTACATATTACGGCATCAGCCTGAACATCACTGGGTTTGGCATGAATGTCTACTTCACACAGTTCATATACGCTGCCATCGAGATGCCTGGAAAGATTGTGGTCTATTACTTCTTGAACAAGTTTGGCCGAAAACCAGGACAGGTTGGGACACTGCTTTTGACTGGAGCCTGTGTCTTCATCAACATATTTGTTCCTCAAGGTATTTGTTGGTTCCTGAAAGATATCGTTAGCTAATAATGGATTATTCGACTTTGCAACAGTGCACTACATGTGTTAAGTTTTTACTTTACTTACGTTTTTACTTACCTACTTACTTACCTTTGTGTTCCTTGTGGAACATAGACCATTGATGCTGTTTGTTTTCTTTGTGCACTTGCATTTTGAGCCCTGGGTGGTATTTGTCAGTTGTTGGCCTTAGATTCAGTCGTCCATGTTTTCATATCTTAACTCAGGTATGTGGGTGTTTCGTACCATCATGGGTCTTTTTGGGAAAGGCCTGTCAGAAGCATCCTTCACAATAATGTTCCTTTATACCACTGAGCTCTACCCAACAGTAGTTCGGTGAGTGACCAATAAACTACTATATCACATAGTGTTCACGTAATGTAATGACCAGTAGTCCTGGTGTGTATTCAGTGACGGGAAATGTCTTTCACAATGTTGCAGATAGAAATGTAACAAATAGAGCTAACACGATTCCTACTTGACAGACAATCAACTCTGTTCTACACAATACATTTCTATCTGAACGTTCTGTAATGTTGTTGCCTCCTTATAACACACATTGTTGAAGAGAAGTTTCCAATTTAATTATGCTGCCAGATTATCATTATTTTTGCACAGATCTGTCCTCTTTTGCACTCTAAATTACTTTTTCGTTTGGTCCCTCAGGCAGAACGGCGTTGGCTACACCTCGTTTGTGGGTCGGCTGGGCGTGTCCATCGCTCCCCTCGTCGCCCTATTGGACGATGTGTGGGAGCTCCTCCCTGCTGTGATATATAGCTTGGTGGCTGTTGGTACCGGACTAGTGGCTTTGCTCCTCCCAGAAACATTCAATGTTCGCCTGCCAGAGTTCATCGAGGACATAGAGAGACCAAGGTAGAGCAGGAATTGTATTTGGTAACACTTCATCTAAAGCATCTAGGTACAGTATATGATTGATTGATGATTTATTTATTTAATTTCAGTTTCAGACACCATTTAGTGCACAGCCCATATGGGCTTATAAGATACAATCAAGTGCTTGTGAAGAAAAGGGGAAACAAATACAGTTTACAATAAGGATGCAGTTATATAATGCATTGTAAGACTTGTCATGGGTCTGATTATAAGACATTATAAAGGCTCATACATGCTTATAACAAGTTGTAAACATTATACCCATGCCAATGCATAAACTGAATTTTTATAAAGGCTCATACATGCTTACAACAAGTTATAATGCATTATAAACCAGGTAGTTTGAGTCCTGGATGCTGATTGGCTGAAACTGCACCTCAGCTGTGTGTATATCAGACAATATACCATGGGTATGACGCAAAAATACTTGTTTACTGTTCTATTTACATTGGTAACCAGTTTATAATAGCAATAAGGCACCTGGGTGGTTTGTGGTATATGGTCAATATATCACGGCTAAGGGCTGTTCTTAGGCACAACGCATTGCGTGGTCTATGGTCTGATATACCACAGCTGTCAGCCAATCAGCAGTCAGGGCTCGAACCACCCAGTTTATAATGGCCAATATACAACACCCCCTCTGGCCTTTTTGCTTAATTATATAAACGAAATTTTTATAAATGTTCATACATGCTTATAACAAGTTATAAAGCATCTACCTATGCCAAGGTTTAAACCGATTCTTTACAAAGGCTCATAACAAGTTATAAAGCATTATACGTATATGTTTTAAGTAAAGGTTACCCAGTATTTAATCAGTATTCAGAATTGGATGAATGACCATGTAACATCTAATTGCACCTTTCCTGCTTTGCAGAGCTGAACTGGATGGAGAGAGTGGCATTCCACTGAAGCAAGCTGATGAAAACAGAAATGGAAATGGAGCAGTTGAGGTTACATGAATCCACACAGAGATCCTATTAGATTACAAAAGGATTCTATATGTAGTTCTATGTGAATCCATGTCACTCAGAGAGACAGCAGTTTTCAAGCAAGTGCATGAAAGATGGACACAGAGCAGAATATCTACCTAGAAGAAATATAATGGATGGACCAGAAAATAGATGTACTAGGGTCCTACTAACTTAACCAAAACAACTAAAAACAACCAAAAACAACCCATCATAACCCTTTATGTAACACACATGATAAAAGTTACTGATAACCTCTGAAATATCAATTAGTAATAGTACTTACTTGGTTAGTACTTACATAGTACATACCTGGTTATTCCATGGTGAAAGATCATTGTAAAATGAATTGTATCCATTTTCTTACATGGACATGATTGAATCTACAGTTTTTTTCTTCAGAAATACTGTTGTTTGTGTGTCTTACCATGTGTCTTGGCAATAAACCTGTGTTCTATACATCCGTTTCCTATACTGAGTTATCCTAACTGGGTTAGAACTGGGTTCCTTACGACCGCTGTCACGAGTTGTAACTTGTATTTCGGATAATTCCGACTGCGTACTATTTAAATCACATCAAATCAAATAAAATTGTATTGACCACATGCGCCGAATACAACAGGTGCAGACATTACAGTGAAATGCTTACTTACAGCCCTTAACCAACAGTGCATTTATTTTTAATAAAAAAGTAGAATAAAACAAAAAAGTGTTGAGAAAAAAAGAGCAGAAGTAAAATAAAATAACAGTAGGGAGGCTATATATACAGGGGGGGTACCGGTGCAGAGTCAATGTGCGGGGGCACCGGCTAGTTGAGGTAGTTGAAGTAATATGTACATGTGGGTAGAGTTAAAGTGACTATGCATAAATAATTAACAGAGTAGCAGCAGCGTAAAAAGATGGGGGTGGGGGGGGGGGGGGGGGGGGGGGGGGGGGGGGCAGTGCAAATAGTCCGGGTAGCCATGATTAGCTGTTCAGGAGTCTTATGGCTTGGGGGTAGAAGCTGTTGAGAAGTCTTTTGGACCTAGACTTGGCACTCCGGTACCGCTTGCCGTGCGGTAGCAGAGAGAACAGTCTATGACTAGGGTGGCTGGAGTCTTTGACAATTTTGAGGGCCTTTCTCTGACACCGCCTGGTATAGAGGTCCTGGATGGCAGGAAGCTTGGCCCCAGTGATGTACTTGGCCGTATGCACTACCCTCTGTAGTGCCTTGCGGTCGGAGGCCAAGCAGTTGCCATACCAGGCGGTGATGCAACCAGTCAGGATGCTCTCAATGGTGCAGCTGTATAATTTTTTGAGGATCTGAGGACCCATGCCAAATGTTTTCAGTCTCCTGAGGGGGAATAGGCTTTGTTGTGCCCTCTTCACGACTGTCTTGGTGTGTTTGGACCATGATAGTTTGTTGGTGATGTGGACACCAAGGAACTTGAAGCTCTCAACCTGTTCCACTACAGCCCCGTCGATGAGAATGGGGGCGTGCTCAGTCCTCTTTTTTTTCCTGTAGTCCACAATCATCTCCTTTGTCTTGCTCACGTTGAGGGAGAGGTTGTTATCCTGGCACCACACGGCCAGGTCTCTGACCTCCTCCCTATAGGCTGTCTCATCGTTGTCGGTGATCAGACCTACCACTGTTGTGTCGTCAGCAAACTTAATGATGGTGTTGGAGTCGTGCCTGGCCATGCAGACATGGGTGAACAGGGAGTACAGGAGGGGACTGAGCACGCACCCCTGAGGGGCCCCCGTGTTGAGGATCAGTGTGGCAGATGTGTTGTTACCTACCCTTACCACCTGGGGGCGGCCCGTCAGGAAGTCCAGGATCCAGTTGCAGAGGGAGGTGTTTAGTCCCAGGATCCTTAGCTTAGTGATGAGCTTTGAGGGCACTATGGTGTTGAATGCTGAGCTGAAGTCAATGAATAGCATTCTCACGTACAGTGGGGAAAAAAAGTATTTAGTCAGCCACCAATTGTGCATGTTCTCCCACTTAAAAAGATGAGAGAGGCCTGTAATTTTCATCATAGGTACACGTCAAATATGACAGACAAAATGAGATTTATTTTCTCCAGAAAATCACATTGTAGGATTTTTAATGAATTTATTTGCAAATTATGGTGGAAAATAAGTATTTGGTCAATAACAAAAGTTTCTCAATACTTTGTTATACAGTGTGGAGAACAAGTATTTGATACACTGCCGATTTTGCAGGTTTTCCTACTTACAAAGCATGTAGAGGTCTGTAATTTTTATCCAGAAAATCACATTGTATGATTTTTAAGTAATTAATTTGCATTTTATTGCATGACATAAGTATTTGATCACCTACCAACCAGTAAGAATTCCGTCTCTCACAGACCTGTTAGTTTGTCTTTAAGAAGCCCTCCTGTTCTCCACTCATTACCTGTATTAACTGCACCTGTTTGAACTCGTTATCTGTATAAAAGACACCTGTCCACACACTCAATCAAACAGACTCCAACCTCTCCACAATGGCCAAGAACAGAGAGCTGTGTAAGGACATCAGGGATAAAATTTTAGACCTGCACAAGGCTGGGATGGGCTACAGGACAATAGGCAAGCAGCTTGGTGAGAAGGCAACAACTGTTGGCACAATTATTAGAAAATGGAAAAAGTTCAAGATGACGGTCAATCACCCTCGGTCTGGGGCTCCATGCAAGATCTCACCTCGTGGGGTATCAATGATCATGAGGAAGGTTAGGGATCAGCCCAGAACTACACGGCAGGACCTGGTCAATGACCTGAAGAGAGCTGGGACCACAGTCTCAAAGAAAACCATTAGTAACACACTACGCCGTCATGGATTAAAATCCTGCAGCGCACGCAAGGTCCCCCTGCTCAAGCCAGCGCATGTCCAGGCCCGTCTGAAGTTTGCCAATGACCATCTGGATGATCCAGAGGAAGAATGGGAGAAGGTCATGTGGTCTAAACTCCACTCGCCGTGTTTGGAGGAAGAAGAAGGATGAGTACAACCCCAAGAACACCATCCCAACCGTGAAGCATGGAGGTGGAAACATCATTCTTTGGGGATGCTTTTCTGCAAAGGGGACAGGACGACTGCACCGTATTGAGGGGAGGATGGATGGGGCCATGTATCGTGAGATCTTGGCCAACAACCTCCTTTCCTCAGTAAGAGCATTGAAGATGGGTCGTGGCTGGGTCTTCCAGCATGACAACGACCCGAAACACACAGCCAGGGCAACTAAGGAGTGGCTCCGTAAGAAGCATCTCAAGGTCCTGGAGTGGCTAGCCAGTCTCCAGACCTGAACCCAATACAAAATCTTTGGAGGGAGCTGAAAGTCCGTATTGCCCAACGACAGCCCCGAAACCTGAAGGATCTGGAGAAGGTCTGTATGGAGGAGTGGGCCATATTCCCTGCTGCAGTGTGTGCAAACCTGATCAAGACCTACAGGAAACGTATGATCTCTGTAATTGCAAACAAAGGTTTCTGTACCAAATATTAAGTTCTGCTTTTCTGATGTATCAAATACTTACGTCATGCAATAAAATGCAAATTAATTACTTAAAAATCATACAATGGGATTTTCTGGATTTTTGTTTTTGATTCCGTCTCTCACAGTTGAAGTGTACCTATGATAACAATTACAGACCTCTACATGCTTTGTAAGTAGGAAAACCTGCAAAATCGGCAGTGTATCAAATACTTGTTCTCCCCACTGTATACCCTTTGTTGGCAATGACACAGGTCAAACGTTTTCTGTAAGTCTTCACAAGGTTTTCACACACTGTTGCTGGTATTTTGGCCCATTCCTCCATGCAGATCTCCTCTAGAGCAGTGATGTTTTGGGGCTGTCGCTGGGCAACATGGACTTTCAACTCCCTCCAAAGATTTTCTATGGGGTTGAGATCTGGAGACTGGCTAGGCCACTCCAGGACCTTGAAATGCTTCTTACGAAGCCACTCCTTCGTTGCCCGGGCGGTGTGTTTGGGATCATTGTCATGCTGAAAGACCCAGCCACGTTTAATCTTCAATGCCCTTGCTGATGGAAGGAGGTTTTCACTCAAAATCTCACGATACATGGCCCCATTCATTCTTTCCTTTACACGGATCAGTCGTCCTGGTCCCTTTGCAGAAAAACAGCCCCAAAGCATGATGTTTCCACCCCCATGCTTCACAGTAGGTATGGTGTTCTTTGGATGCAACTCAGCATTCTTTGTCCTCCAAACATGACGAGTTGAGTTTTTACCAAAAAGTTCTATTTTGGTTTCATCTGACCATATGACATTCTCCCAATCCTCTTCTGGATCATCCAAATGCACTCTAGCAAACTTCAGACGGGCCTATAGACATTTACTGGCTTAAGCAGGGGGACACGTCTGGCACTGCAGGATTTGAGTCCCTGGCGGCGCAGTGTGTTACTGATGGTAGGCTTTGTTACTTTGGCCCCAGCTCTCTGCAGGTCATTCACTAGGTCCCCCCGTGTGGTTCTGGGATTTTTGCTCACCGTTCTTGTGATCATTTTGACCCCACGGGGTGAGATCTTGCGTGGAGCCCCAGATCGAGGGAGATTATCAGTGGTCTTGTATGTCTTCCATTTCCTAATAATTGCTCCCACAGTTGATTTCTTCAAACCAAGCTGATTACCTATTGCAGATTCAGTCTTCCCAGCCTGGTGCAGGTCTACAATTTTGTTTCTGGTGTCCTTTGACAGCTCTTTGGTCTTGGCCATAGTGGAGTTTGGAGTGTGACTGTTTGAGGTTGTGGACAGGTGTCTTTTATACTGATAACAAGTTCAAACAGGTGCCATTAATACAGGTAACGAGTGGAGGACAGAGGAGCCTCTTAAAGAAGAAGTTACAGGTCTGTGAGAGCCAGAAATCTTGCTTGTTTGTAGGTGACCAAATACTTATTTTCCACCATAATTTGCAAATAAATTCAATAAAAATCCTACAATGTGATTTTCTGGAAAAAAAATTATTCTCAATTTGTCTGTCATAGTTGACGTGTACCTATGATGAAAATTACAGGCCTCTCTCATCTTTTTAAGTGGGAGAACTTGCACAATTGGTGGCTGACTAAATACTTTTTTCCCCACTGTAGGTGTTCCTCTTGTCCAGGTGGGAAAGGGCAGTGTGGAGTGCAATAGAGATTGCATCATCTGTGGATCTGTTGGGGCAGTATGCAAATTGGAGTGGGTCTAGGGTTTCTGGGATAATGGTGTTGATGTGAGCCATGACCAGCCTTTCAAAGCACTTCATGGCTACAGACGTCAGTGCTACGGGTCGGTAGTCATTTAGGCAGGTTATCTTAGAGTCCTTGGGCACGGGGACTAGGGTGGTCTGCTTGAAACATGTTGGTATTACAGACTCAGTCAGGGACATGTTGAAAATGTCAGTGAAGACACTTGCCAGTTGGTCAGCACATGCTCGGAGTACACGTCCTGGTAATCCGTCTGGCCCTGCGGCCTGGTGAATGTTGACCTGCTTAAAAGTCTTACTCACATCGGCTACGGAGAGCGTGATCACATAGTCATCCGGAACAGCTGGTGCTCTCATGCATGCTTCAGTGTTGCTTGCCTCGAAGCGAGCATAGAAGTGGTTTAGCTCGTCTGGAAGTCTTGTGTCACTGGGCAGCTCGCGGCTGTGCTTCCCTTTGTAGTCTGTAATAGTTTTCAAGCCCTGCCACATCCGACGAGCGTCAGAGCCGGTGTAGTACGATTCAATCTTAGTCCTGTATTGACTCTTTGCCTGGTTGATGGTTCGTCGGAGGGCATAGCGGGATTTCTTATAAGCGTCCGGGTTAGAGTCCCGCTCCTTGAAAGCGGCAGCTCTACCCTTTAGCTCAGTGCGGATGTTTCCTGTAATCCATGGCTTCTGGTTGGGGTATGTACGTACGGTCACTGTGGGGACGACATCATTGATGCACTTATTGATGAAGCCAGTGACTGATGTGGTGTACTCCTCAATGCTATCTGAAGAATCCCGGAACATTTTCCAGTCTGTGCTAGCAAAACAGTCCTGTAGCTTAGCATCTGCATTTATATTTCCATGCAGTTAAATACCTTTATTGTGGTGTCACGTTCAATAGAACAAAATAACCATTGTGACGTGTTTCAGCATATCTAGACTTTGTCTCATTTCCCTTTTTTCTAAACACTTGGGAGGGAACAAGCCTGAGTCTGTTGGTGCCATCCTGCTATTGTCACGGTCGTCGATAGATGAAGCGGACCAAGGCGCAGCGTGATAAACGTACATCTTTTATTGAAGTACACCACCCTAACAAAACAACAAACGAAACGTGAAGTCCTAGGTTAACACAAACCTTTCGGAACAAGATCCCACAATGACTAGTGAAAACAGGCTGCCTAAGTATGGGTCCCAATCAGAGACAACGAGCTACAGCTGCCTCTGATTGGGAACCACCCTGGCCAACATAGATCTAACCGATCTAGAACGAAAACCATAGCAAACAAAACATAGAAAATCCACACCCTGGCTCAACAATTAAGAGTCCCCAGAGCCAGGGCGTGACAGCTATCAAGTACTTGTCACTCATTGTCATGGTATGTTTGGCTTGACAATGTGCAATGGAGTTTGAAGAGCACAGACATCATGTTCCATTCTCTTTTTGAATTGTTAACATATTATTGAATTCTGGAAACTTTGAAATTGTGGAATGTTCTTTAGTTGCTCAAGCAACTCCTTGCTGTCAATGCATCACCAATTAATGTACATTTAGGCATTCTTTTACAAGCAAAAGTGGTTTATTTATGTAGTTTTGCACAGTAAAAGATTGATCTATTTCGCAAGGTTAACTAACAATGAGACAGTGGGACCAACAGACAACCTTTAGACTTTAGGTAAAAGATTATGATATATTTTCTTGGATCCAAAGTACGAACGTGAATGAGGGTGATTGCTGTGCTTTCAGTATTACAAGAAGTCTATCTTGACCAAGTGGAAGATGAAGTTTGAACACCTACTCTCGGATATCAATGGATTTGGACGGTTCCAGATGATGATCATTATCATCAGCTTCATTGCTCGATTCACCCTGCCATGTCACTTTATGCTGGGTAACTTTATAGCGGCCGTACCCTCTCACCACTGTGATCTCAGCGCTCTGGATGATGAGGGCGTCTTTGGGAATCTGACCCAGGAGCAGAGACTGACTGTCAGTATTCCAGTACAGGAAGATGGGACTCCAAGCTCCTGTAAGATGTTCCCAGAGTCCCAGTTCCACCTCCTGTCCAACTCTAATGACAGTGACCTAGCTACAGTCCCCTGCCAGAATGGATGGTTATATGACAACAGCACCTTCAAATCCACTCTTGCTACAGAGGTATGCTTTTCTGTCTCTTTGTCACTAGACTATACAAGTCGAAAGGTAATGATGTAGTCAATGAATGTCTCATTGAATGAAAGGTCATGTTGTACTCATTGAATGTCATTCTTCGACCTCTACAGATGGTTGCATATAAATTAAGTGTTATTTGTAAGTACAAATCTCATTGAATGCATCTTTGAATATTGTTGCAGTGCTAGCAACTCAATGATAGTCTTTCACAAAAGGTAAGTAGAGAGGCCGTTCTCATTTATACTGTACCTTGAATGAGTTGTCTGTTTATTCTTATTTCTACCTCTCACATCAGTGGGACTTGGTGTGTGACCAGAAAGGGCTAAATAAGGCGACGGCCACCATCTTCTTCATGGGCGTGATGTTCGGAGCAATGACCTTTGGTAGTCTAAGTGACAGGTAAGTTAACAATCATTTATTAATTCACAGACAGTGGATTTTAGAGTCAATTTAAAACTAATCTCTCGTGTACAGACGCAGGTAACATAACTGGTATGGTAGCGTCTGTCAACAGAATGTGTGGATGCAATGATTAATGAGGAACCCTTGATGCGTCACTGAGCATTTGGACAAATCTTGATTTTACAGGTGTTAGTATCTTTTGGCCCATAGACTTGCCCGTAACTTGGAAAGGGGGGGGGGGGGGGGGGGCTACCGCGCTGCTTCCACTCCTCGTTGTAGGATATTTTCTAACATGTCTTTCCCCGGAACTTAATCGAGCATCTGATGCAATTACGTGAGATTTTAGTTCTGGATTTCCAAGATGACCTAAAACCATGAAGTAGACTGTCTCTGAATGGAAAGAGAAAAGTTGTTAAGCTGTGAAAGGCCCAGTGCAGTGTCAATTTGTTTTTTCCTGTGCTTTGTATCATATTGTACAACAGCTGATTAAACTAACACTGTAAAAGTGTGAGAAAAATGTATATGTGTTATTTCCTGATTACACTACATGACCAAAAGTATGATCGTCTAACATTTTATTCCAAAATCATGGGCATTAATATGGAGTTGGTCGACTCTTTGCTGCTATAAAAGCCTCCACTCTTCTGGGAAGGCTTTCCACTAGATGTTGGAACATTGCTGCTGGGACTTGCTACCATTCAGCCAGAAGAGCATTAGTGAGGTCGGGCACTGATGTTGGGCGATTAGGCCTGGCTCATAGTCGGCGTTCCAAAGCTGTTCAATGCGGTTGAGGCCAGGGCTCTGGGCTCTGGGCTCTGGGTTCTTCAAACTATTTCTGTATGGACCTCGCTTTGTGCACAGGGGCATTGTCAAGCTGAAACAAGAAAGGGCCTTCCCCAAACTGTTGCCACAAAGTTGGAAGCACATAATTGTCTAGAATGTCATTGCATGCTGTAGTGTTAAGATTTCCCTTCACTAGAACTAAGGGGCCTAGCCCGAACCATGAAAAACAGCCCCAGACCATTATTCCTCCTCCACTAAACTTTACAGTTGGCACTATGCATTGGGGCAGATTGCGTTCTCCTGGCACCCGCCAAACCTAGATTCGTCCGTCAGACTGCCAGATGGTGAAGCGTGATTCATCACTCCAGAGAACACGTTTCCACTGCTCCAGAGTCCAATGGCGGCGAGCTTTACACCACTCCAGCTGACGCTTGGCATTGCGCATGGTGATCTTAGCCTTGCGTGCGGCTGCTCAGCCATGGAAACCCATTTCATGAAGCTCCCGACGAACAGTTCTTGTGCTGACGTTGCTTCCAGAGGCAGTTTGGAACTCGGTAATGAGTGTTGCAACCGAGGACAGACGATTTTTGCGCTTCAGCACTCAGTGGTCCCGTTCTGTGAGCTTGTGTAGCCTAGGATTTCATGGCTGAGCCGCTGTTGCTCCTAGACAGTTGACCGGGGCAGATCTATCAGGGCAGAAATTTAATGAACTCACTTGTTGGAAAGGTGGCATCCTAAGACGGTGCCACGTTGAAATTCACTGAGCTCTTCAGTAAGGCCATTCTACTGCCAATGTTTGTCTATGGCGATGGCATGGCTGTATGCTCGATTTTATACAACTGTCAGCAACGGGTGTGGCTGAAATAGCCGATTCCACTAATTTGAAGGGGTGTCCACATACTTTTGTGTATATAGTGTAGTTGCTGGTTGAAAATACAATCTACACAGGACCTTCTAATCAGCAGGTTTTGCATGGGTTGGAGTTTTGGCTTGCCTGTTGACAACACCAGTGGTACATTTGTTAATTTACCCATAACAAAGAGAATTCCAAACCTATAAAAGTTTTCCCCTCCCCACTCAGACCACTCCCAGACATCATAGCAAAATTATTGCTTGAGAAGTAGTTTTTTTCTAAAAAGTTATTTCTGATTCTTTTTGACCATTTTAATGGAAAACTGTTATAAGGTACTTAATTGTTACCCAGAAATTATTTAGTTTTTAATATTTTATTAGGATACCCATTCATTGCCACGGGAAGTAGGGGTTCTGAGGGTGCTGCAGCACCCCCTGAAAAATTTGAATATTTATTTATTTATTATTATTATTATTAATTTTTTACTGGGCCTTTACAACTCCTGTATTAGCGGACCGATATAGCCGCCTTCAGCTGCAGGAAACTTTTTTTCACAAAAGTAGTGCACTGGGCCTTTCCTGCTCCTGTATTCAGAGCTGGTCCTGGCCATTCTGCTGCCCTAGGCGAGACAAACATATAGCCCCTACAAAACTAGAATACTCCCAGTAAGCAAAATATCGTTGAAAATATGTCTAAAATCCGTATTTTCCAGACGTTGAAGTTAGGTTCAATTTATATTCTGAATGAAAGGTGAAAATATGTATTTTCCAGATATCAAGGCCGGTTGGGACCACACCAAATCTGAACCAAACATAGGCATCTACGGTTGAGCAAAATCAAGGCTGGTTCAGACCGGACCAAAAACCAACAACCGTGGACGTGGAAATCAAGGCCGGTCTGGAATGGACCAAAAAAAGATTGCTGGTCTGGACAGGACCAAAAAAAGATGTCCAAAAGACATCGGCGTCGGTCCGTGCTTACTGGGGTGTCGCCTACAGTGTCATCATGCAATGGAATTTTATGAATGCCCATCCATGTCTTAGTCCCACCGTTTCTAAAACAGGCTTTTCCATTGGCTTTATTAGTCCTGATTCCTGTGACTAATCAATTTGGCTATTTAAGCTCTGAATACCAGCAACCCAACTTTATCAGGAGTTATCCTGAGTTTATTTGCAATGTGTTTACACAGCGGGAAATTGATTAGTATTTTATTTTGCGCTATAGATACAAACTTGAATCCACTGATCATGACAATTTAGCCCAAGGGGTGAAACTCCTGGACAGCAGTTGTGAGTAGCCTGATTATCCATTCCATATTGTCCATTTTACTTTGGCCTGTACTGTTTTTAGGATATGTTGTTTGTTAACATGTCAACACATGTTTTATTTGATTGGGATTTAGGTTAGGCTATTTGATCGGAGAAACCTGCATGATGAAATAAGTGTCTGTCTCATTACTTATACATGTTTTTGTCACGATCGTCTAAAACAGGAGACCAAGGCGCAGCGTTGCGAGTGAACATGATGACTTTAATTAGACAAGCACGTCAATACAAAACAAAAGACGAAAGTGAAGTCCAACAGTGACAAAATACTGAACCTGGAACAAAAACCCACAACACCCAAGAGAAAACACACAGTATAAATATGGCTCCCAATCAGAGATAACGAGCCGACAGCTGACACTCGTTACCTCCGATTGGGAGTCAATGACCAAACCTAGAAATAAACGTGACAGAAATGCAACCATAGAAAATCACCCAAAACCCAACAAAACACAATACACCCTGGCTCAAATACAAAAGTCCTGGAGCCAGAGTGTCACAGTACCCCCCCCTAAAGGTGCGAACTCCGGGCGCACCAGCATACAGTCTAGGGGAGGGTCTGGGTGGGCGTCTGTCCACGGTGGCGGTTCTGGCCCTGGTCGTGGTCCCCACCCCACCTTAGTCACTACCCGCCTCCGTAGCCTCCTCCACATGACCACCCCCCAACTAAACCCCACTGGATTAAGGGGCGGCACCGGACTAAAGGGCAGCACCGGACTAAGGGGCAGTACCGGACTAAGGGGCAGCACCAGGATAAGGGGCAGCACCGGGCTAAGGGACAGCACCGGACTCAATGGCGGATCCTGGCTGGCTGGCTCTGGCGGATCCTGGCTGGACGGCTCTGGCGGATCCTGGCTGGACGGCTCATGGCTGGCTGAAGGATCTGGCTGCTCATGGCTGGCTGACGGATCTGGCTGCTCATGGCTGGCCGACGGATCTGGCTGCTCATGGCTGGCCGACGGATCTGGCTGCTCATGGCTGGCTGAAGGATCTGGCTGCTCATGGCCGGCTGACGGATCTGGCTGCTCATGGCCGGCTGACGGATCTGGCTGCTCATGGCTGGCGGAAGGCTCTGGCTGATCCTGTCTGGCGGAAGGCTCTGGCTGATCCTGTCTGGCAGAAGGCTCTGGCTGATCCTGTCTGGCAGAAGGCTCTGGCTGATCCTGTCTGGCAGAAGGCTCTGGCTGATCCTGTCTGGCAGAAGGCTCTGGCTGATCCTGTCTGGCGGAAGGCTCTGGCTGATCCTGTCTGGCGGAAGGCTCTGGCTGATCCTGTCTGGCAGAAGGCTCTGGCTGATCCTGTCTGGCAGAAGGCTCTGGCTGATCCTGTCTGGCGGAAGGCTCTGGCTGATCCTGTCTGGCAGAAGGCTCTAGCGGCTCCGGTCTGGCGGACGGCTCTGACGGCTCATGGCAGACGGGCGGCTTAAGCGCCTTTGGGCAGACGGGCAGTTCAGGCCCCGTTGGGCAGACGGCAGACTCTGGCCGTCTGAGGCGCACCGTAGGCCTGAAGCGTGGTGCCGGAACTGGAGGTACCGGGCTGAGGACGCGCATCTCAGGGCTAGTGCGGGGAGAAGCAACAGGGCATGCTGGACCCTGGGAACGCACATAACGCCTAGTGCGGAGAGCCGGAACAGGGCATGCTGGACCCTGGGGACTCACATAACGCCTAGTGCGGAGAGCCGGAACAGGGCATGCTGGACCCTGGGGACTCACATAACGCCTAGTGCGGAGAGCCGGAACAGGGCATGCTGGACCCTGGGGACTCACATAACGCCTAGTGCGGAGAGCCGGAACAGGGCATGCTGGACCCTGGGGACTCACATAACGCCTAGTGCGGGGAGAAGGAACAGGGCATGCTGGACCCTGGGGACGCACATAAGGCCTAGTGCGGAGAGCCGGAACAGGGCATGCTGGACCCTGGGGACTCACATAACGCCTAGTGCGGAGAGCAGCAACAGGACGCACAGGACTCGGGGAACACACAGGAGGCTTGGTGCGTGGTGTAGGCACTGGTGGTACTGGGCTGGAGCGGGGA